GGTTGTCATGTTGTCCAAGCCCTGATGGCTGATCCAATGACCAGTCAGGCACTCAGCAAGAAGAGCAAAAATTTCCACCTCTTCCCAAGTTATCCCAGCCACTGCCAGCTGCACCACGAGTGCACAAGGAGCCCTTGGAAGCAGCCGTCACTTGCTTTCTCCACTCCCTGCCAACCTCCCGCCCCATTGCCATATGTTCCAGGAAAAGCCCAATCAGAACACTTTCAAAAGCGACTGGCATTTGATAGTGAGCTATCAAAACTCTTTTTCTCCAGGAAAAGTGATATGGAGATGAAAGCAGTTTCACACTCTTTCCTAAGCATCTAGTCTTGATAAAATGTTTAAAAATTGTATTATCCTGAAGACCCTTGAGGCAAAATAAATACACACAAGTCAAAAGGAGGATCTTGTTGCAAAAGGATCTTGCCATGCAAACCCCATGATCCCAATTTTACAAGTAAAAAGCACGTGAACCTTTGGTTTGGATTTATAGCTTCCTTTCTGAGAACTGCCAAAGGGGAGAAGGAGGCAGCAAACAGCCTACAGTGAGCCGATCATCTTACAAGTTACCCTGGGTTGTTCACAGGCCAAGACACACACCACGGCTTCTTGCCAGGGTTAAGCTGCTGTGGTATGGGAACCTGCCCAACTGCTGTTATATATTTCTAATGCTCTCCTATTCAAACATTCATTTCAGTTTCTGTATTCTTACCTTGTCCAAGAAATTACAACTTCCCCTTTCTTCTTAATGATGTTTTTGGCACATAGACTTGATGGCGACATTGTGGATGTTGATGGTAAAGGATCTTTTTCTGTAATTAAAGGAACCTTTTTAATGGACGCACTTGTGGCTACTGAAGCAGTCTCTTTAGATCGTCTGCAATTTTTGCTGGATTTTTTACAAGTCAATTCATTACTTTCCTTTCTTTGTCTTTTTCCACTGGATGTTTCTTCTGCCTCCTTTTTTCTTTTTTTACTTTCTTTACTAAGGTTCATTTGGGATCCTTGACCATCAATATTAAGAACAGCTTTGGATTTAAAATGCTTATCTACTGTTGGTTTGTCAAGCAGGTCCACTGCCAAATTTATAACTCCTTCAACATCATGTTCTGAAGGGGCACTTGCTACACAACAGGCTTCTATCTTAGGTTCCTCTTTATTTTTATATACGCATTCCATACTAGTATTTAAAGCAGATTCTGCTGTTAGGTCCCATGAATCAACTTCATTTTCCATGGGTGTCTCATCAGTCAAGTCTATACATATATCAAAATGGCTCTTGGAAGTCAATTCTTCTACAGCTGGAACTGCTGCTGAGTTAACCAGAGAATGTTCAACTTTAGTACAAGATACATCACTTTTTTGGGATATGTTCAGTGTGTGTGACTGAGGTAGCTTAAAGACAGGTATATCTGTCATATATTGGGTAGTTTCACTTGATGAGTCTTTCAAGCATCCTAAAGATCTCCCCAGTACTTTAGCATGATCTTGCAAGTCACAGGCTTCTTTGGGACTACTATGCACCTGATCAGAGCCTTGAGGCTGAGCGGTATTGCTATATGGCTCTTGAAGAAGTTCATTCATGTTACATTTTTCCTCTTGGCTGGCATTAGTAAACAGATTCTCCACAGAGTCAAGCACATCAACAGGAACTCCAGAATGGGGCTCTTGCTGAGGCTCAGCTACCTGATCATTCACAAGACAGACAGATGACTCTTTCACAAGCGCCAGTGAATTAAGAACTCCCTTATGTTCATTATGACCATGTACCATCTTATCCTCCAGTTCAATCTTTTTCTTACATATTGTTGTTTCTTCCAGTGGTACATATTTTGAGTTCAATGTATCTAATTTTTCGTCCATTATAATTTCATTGTTTCTTCTCTCAGTAATAGTGGCTTCTCCGTCATTTCCTAGGATTGCTTGATGATGGGTTGGTGAGGAAGATGGTGCTGCACGCCTTATCTTAACAATGAAGTGATCATTTGATTTCTCCATTATTACTGCCTGCATTGGCAGGTTTGGGCAATACTGAAATCCAGGGACAGCAGGCATACTTGCCCATGATGAAGAACAGCTGGATTTACTGCTAGAATTATCAGATTCCAAAGCCAAATGGATGTCCTGTTCAGAAGCATCCTCTTCTTCAAGATGGGCATCTTCACTGAAGTGTGCACTTAGAACATCCTTGGGAACAGACCCAAGTATGTCAGGTTTCAAGAAACTAAGATGAGCATCTGATTTCAAAGGAGAGGGAATAGTCAATGACACTGCTAGGTCTTCCAGAAGAATGGAAGATACAAGTGATTTTGGCTTTTCTGAAATACATGTTTCATTTTTCTTTAAAGCTGGACTAGTAGGAATTTCAAACATACAGCTTTCATCCAAAATAGCTGGATCAAGAGGGATCTGCAGTCTAGTTAAAAATGCTGAATCTCTTTCAGGTGAAACTATGGGCCATTTAATGCTATCTAGTACTCTACATTCTACTTGCGTCTCTTTTGGAATCATTTCTTCCGATTCATATACTGGATCATTCCTACAGGTTTGACTATCTGGCACACGTTTTTCTGGTGTCCTGAATTCCCACTGATTTTCATCAATGAACTCATCATTCTTTTCTGAAAGATCAGAGCCTTGTAACAAACTCTTGAACATTTCACCCATTTGAGCATCATTGACTAGATTGAATGTCAGACCAGACATCTGCTGTTCTGTGAGAGGTCCAGAGCTAATATCTGACTTGGGAGGGTCTCCAGCCACAGAGGATCCTTCCTTTCCATATTGTCCATTTTTCAAAGCACTCTCCTTCATGGGGTTATCAATGAAAAGTTCAGCTTGGGTCTGAGAATGTTTTGAGTTATCAGAAGAGGAGCCTTTATGTTTTGCAGCTGTATTTTTGTGTATGTCCATTTTGTGTGTTTCATGGTGACCTTTCTTTAACACTTGATTACCTGCTACTGGTTTTTGAAGGACAGATTCTTCAGACTTTTGAGTTCTAGTATTTAAGGTGGTTTTCTTTGATTTCTGTCTTTCATTTTTATTATTCACAAGGCATCTGGGACTTCTCTTTGTTCTTTTATCAAGTTTACCTTTATCATTTTCATTTTCAAAACTTATCAAGTTACACAATTTTAGAATATTTTTTTTAATTTTATCAAACAGATAGTCAAGTTCTTCATCTACAAGTTTCCACAACTTTTTTTTCATATCTGCTTGCTGATGTTCAAATAGATACTCTATTTCACTATTCTTTTTTATCTGATTTAGTTTGGATTCTATAATTTCACAGAGAGTCAACTTCAAGGCTTCACTTGATTTAGACATTTTAGAGAAGTCAAGGTATTTTATTAGGGATGTAAAATTCAGAATTGCCGAATCTATAATTCTATGAAAGTTCTGTACTGGAAACTGCATTTTAAACTTCATGTAGTTCTTCCGTATTTGTTTTCTTATAGCTCTCAACATCTGCATAAACTCATGTACAGTAGAAGGTTCAACAGTAATCTGCACTATTTTTTCAAGACAGTCAATGCTCACAGCTTTAGTTTTCTTCATTTCACTGGAGGACATCAGGTTTCCATCTTTGGGTCTATTTTTTTTCCCAGAAGCTAATTTTTCAGTATCTTCACTGGAAGATGTAATCTTGGTCCTGAGGCTACATGTACTCTTGGACAAATTAGAACTATCAGGAGATACTTTTCTTCTTGCTTTTTTACAGCTCTCTAAGTCCCTTTCCACTTTCGGTTCTTCGTCATCACTTACAATTTCACCTTCTTCTAATTCATCTGAAGACATGGTCAGCTGAGATTCTACTAAGATTTGGTGATCTGAGTGAAGTGGCTTTTGATTTTCCTTGTTGAGTTCACTGGATTGGTTTCTTCCAGGACAGACAACTGCACTCTCTGGAACAAAATTTTAAAAAAACCCATCAGATGGTTGGTTAACATATCACCTGAAAGCAGCAAGTGCCAAAACAAATGGCAATTACTGTATGACTCAATAGCCGATTTTCTTCTAAAATCAGCTATTTGCAGCGAACATAACTGCTTTGAACTTTCTATTTAGACATGCCAACAGCTCTATGTATTGAATTTTAGTAGGGGAGAGGCTGCTTTGTCAGCCAGTAAATAGCATCTCAGGCCAAGACTATGAATCTTTAGGTCCAAATACCTGCTCAGCTATGAATTTCAGAACTCAAATTTAACCCAGTCACACTGTCTTAGCTTAAGGTACCTCCTAGGATTGTTATGATGACAAGGTTGGAAAGGGACTATGTATGTCATTCTAGGTGCCTTGGAAGAGGTGGATATAAAAGAAACAAATCAATCTTCAGAATGGAAACAGCTTTCATATATTGAGCTCCAAAATAGGAAGTTGCACTGAGAGTCTATTGTTGTTCAAATGATGTTGCATTCTACATCTTAAAACAAAATATGTAATGTTTTGGTTACAAATCTTAAGGAATTACTATATATGAATTCTGCATCCAAGATTCAGAACAAGTAGTTTTAAGGTTAAATCTTATTCATAGTCCTATTGAATTTAAGCATGACAAATTGAATAAAATAGTTGTAGATTTCAACAGTATAGCATCATCTTGGTTTATATACTTGCTGAGTTTGCTGAGTCCTCTATCTTCTCTAGAGGACTAGGTAACTTTCTGGAGCAAAATTTTGAGGATGTGGGGAGAAACTCTGCTTGGAGAATATGGAATTCCACCCTAGGAAAGTGTGATCCTATGAAACTTACTTGTGCATAAATACCATTTGATTAAATGGAGCGCACTTCTGAATGGACAAATACAGGCATATACTGGATTGCTGCAGTTATTAGAACTCAAGTTCTAATATTATGTAGAAATTCTACTGAAAATCAATCAGGCTTTATTCCAGCTGAATAGGTTTTGGATAAAATAAGCTAATGTTTATGTAGCAGAGTAGATAATGGGGAGGGGGGGCTTGTATAACTCTTAAAATTCAATGATTTTATTAGCATTGTGACCCAGGTTTGGCAAGTTATAGGGTTAGACATACAGGGTTTTTTTGTTTTGGCTCGCAAACTTCCTTGAAATAAAATGGTATTGTAGTTATCCCTGCTACCTTTTAAATAACAGAAAGGCTAGAAAATTGATTAGATTGACAACTGGAAATGAGGCACAGTGCAATTTATCCCTTTTTAACCAAAATATAGATTGATACTACAACTGGACCAGCAAACTGATTTAAGCCAGCACTACAATCATAATTTGCAGTTTTTGCTCAAAACCATAGTTTACCCATTTGGATTAAATGTAAAATCGGTCCAGGACTGGACCAGGAAATAATGCATTAAACCACTGGAGGTACAGAAAGAAGTGTTCAGCTCTGTGTTTCATTCCTATCCCTCTAAATCTCAGGGAATTCTTATTCTCATCTGGAAAGCATGTGCAGAGATAGAAGGAACGGGAAAGTGTTGGAGGGGAGAGAACACGTAGGGAGAGAAACTGAACAAGAATGGCAATTTTGTATTTGACATGGTCTTTTATCATGCCTAAAAGACATCTACTCCTTCCTGAAAATGGATTTATTTTCAGTGGGTTTTTTCTCATTTATATATCTTAACAAGCAGAAATAACATAAACTTACCTAGATTATAACTCTTCACTAATCCTTTGAAAGGGCTTTCTGTTCTGAGCACTTTAGCCAAGGGACGGATTGGACTATTAATTGGGCTGATGGCTTTTGGAATGTGTCTCATGTGATTGAGATCAATGCTCAGTACAGAGTTATCATCATCAACTGAAACTGGGTTTGTGTCTCTTTCTTGAAATGAAGAGTTCAGCTCTTTATTAAATAAAGTTTCTAAATGGTTTCCAGGGTCAGGAAAGCTTGGTTTCAGGTTATGAACCTTCTGGTCATTTGCTTGCACATCCCGACATAGTATCTTGCTTTCTTTCACAGTACTCTTGTGAGGCAGAGATCTGTTTTCTTTTTCTGGATACTCCATCACTTTTTCATCTGCACATTTAAAGGATTCCTCCTCATCCACCAATGAGTCTGAATCTGTCCCACTAATTTCATCTATTACACTAAAAGAATCAAATTCTACAGAACTTATAGTCTCCAAGTCATTAAAAGTATTATCTGGAAGTTTATCTTGATCCACAGAACTTCCTAGGTCAGGAGACAAATACATTTCATGCACTTCTCCCATTTCAATGTCAGCCTCAGGCAGGAGATTTCCATTAACAGCTAGTTCATTTTGTTTTACTACATTTTGTGTGAATGATGTCTCAGATAACTCTGTGTTCATGGTTTCTGCTGGACCCTCATTCCCCATCTGAGATACAGATCCTGTTTTTTCCAGATTGGTATGAACAAATTTGTCCTGGACAGTTAACAGTGGTGTATCTGTTCGCTTAGCTGCATTTGTATTACTAGACTCATCTGGTACTAACATTACTTCTTGACTTGGAATCTCTGAGTTGCATTCATTGGCAGACTTTACTACTGATTTGACTTTGTCTGTTTGCTTTTTAGCAGGAGAAAGAGTTAAATTTAACTTCTGCATAAAGCTTAGTTTTAAGTCTTTACTTTTTGACTGTTCCTCATCCCTTCCAACTTTTGTAGGGTTCCGCCCCTCCATGCCATCAACTATTTTGGAACTTGCTTCTGCCTGAAAGGATTTCTTTTCTTCCCTTTTCGTATTTTCTTTCATTTTAATGGTTCTTTTTGTTGTCTTTAACATTTCCTTTAAATTATCTTTGTTCTGAGAATTCTCATTATCTCTACATTTGTCTCTTTCATTTTTCCTTTTTTCTTCAGTTCTGTGTCTGTCGGATTTTGAATGTGTGTGTTCACACTTGCTGCTGTCCTCCTTGGAGTAGCTATGTTTTTGGTCACTACTAGAAGCCAAAGATTGTGCTGGTGATGATCTCCCTTCTTGGAAGCCATGACCATTTTTTGCTTTGTTTCTTCGACAATCACTATTTTTAATCTTTCGGTCTTCTGAATAGCTTTTATTTAATTTTTGAAGACTCCTGGCAAGTGCATCCCTTTCAGGAACCCTGGAAAGTTTATCAGGTTTTTTTTGTTCTAGATGCCTGTCAGGCTGTCTGGTTTTCTGTCCACTATTACTTTCTTCTTTGACTTGTGATTTCAGGGCCTTCTGATTTCGATTTTGTGACTTTTCATCCCTAACAGTACTAGAGTGTCCTGTTTTGGGCAGTAATCTGTCCTTAGGAGTTGACTGCTTCTCTTTAGCTGAGGGGACTTTATTGGTTCTTTTTTCTGCACAGAGGCTACTTTTGAACTTTAAGTCTTTGCTATCTTTCCAATGTCCATTTTTTACTGTTTTTTCTGGGTAAGCTTGAAATTTTCCATGAATATCCACTGCAGTACCATTCAGATTCTGTTGTGCTTTTGTCTTGTATCTGCAGTCATTCTCCCTGCTATAATGCTCATTAGGTTTCATTTCTTTTTTCCCCTTTTCTTTGCCACATAAGCTGTCAACATTTGTCAACCTTGCATGAGCACCATCAGTGTAAAGCTGTTCCGTATGAGCCTGAGGTACATATGGAGCATCTCTTTTTTCTGAATGAAATGTCTTCTTTTCTATATCCCAAGTTGAATAACTGGATGGTATGTCTTTAGATAGAGTGTGCTGAGTTCTAGAATCCAGTTTCTGATTGTTTTCTGGAAGTAAATCTCTGCCTTTATTTTTCATTTTTGATCCTTCAATGTTTTTTGCATTATTAGCTGATGCTAGGTATGTTCTACTGTAAGTATGTTGATGAACTGGAATTTCAGATAACCTGTATAAAGAGATTGTTTTAAGTAGCTACATTTTAAAAAGCAAGCCAAGATTTAAACAATTCCGCTAAAAACTTAATTGCCTGAACTAATTTTTAATGTGGGAAAGGCTTTCAGGTGTTAAAATAAATATGTGCAATGTTCCATTCAGACTGTCAGGCCAAAGTAAGCCAAGACCCACACAAAGGTCTCATTTGTTTCAACAAGCCATATTTAAGATTAACCATTTTGTCCATGTTCAGATGATGTTACAAGCTTTGGTTAATTTAAAATGAAAGTTTCTGATTTCCTTTTTGTGACTGTAGTGAGTATGTACAAGCCACAGCAAGTGTGAGGCTATTAATGCAATCATTTAATGCAGGCAAGTTTTTTCAAGAAACTCTCGAATTTTTAAAAGAGATAATCTTTCAGAAGATAAGTGTTTGACAAAATAATGTAGAGAACAATTCTACATGCTAGACACCCAGAGATTGAGGCCTGCCAAGATCAGGCCTTCCATATGATAGCCCTGTCCTTTGCCCTGCTGTTCTCTTGCTAGCAGGGTGTGAGGAGCACCACTGGCTATTTTTGCCTAAATCTTCCATTTAAGCATGTTTTACTAAGGCAGGCCGCTGAGCCCATCCCATCTAATCTATTCTCTGTCCTGGGGCAGAAATAGGAACCGAGGTGCTGTTAGATCCAGTGGGTATTCAGTCTCCCCATTCTTGACTATTGGCTTGCTTCAACACACCCATTTCCTCTCTTTGCAAGGTCATAGTCCCAGCCTCTGAAAAGGAAGGCATGCTAGTTTTCCTAAGAGGCTGGAAAGGGTGAGCTACAGTTGCATCTTATCCTCCAAGGTTTGAGCTCCAGCTCTGGCTGAGATTCACCACGCTGTGATCTTAATGTTTACGAATTTATGTAAAAAGTTATTTATATAGGTAAATATATATATTTAGAAAGCATTGTTTCCTCTCCAGTTACAATACTTGTGTTTATCTTTTCTTTCCTTTTTAAAAAACTTAGATTTCCCACAAAATATGATTAGTCTATTAGGTTTCAAAATGGGTACCTTCGCTGGAGATTACTGATTTCTTCATCTTTCCGATTAATTTCTACTCTAGCTGTTTTGATAAGAGCTGAAATATTCTTCTTAAGGCACTGGTTTTCTTTTTGCAGAATGGAATTCTAGTTTTAAAAGGACACAAGCACATACACATTATAAAAATGAATCTGCATGAAACGAAGGCAGAAAATACAATTAACTCTTTAAAAAATCTAATTTAAATCAATTTGCTGCTGATGGTTTATATCAAGTGGAAGATACATAGCTAGTTCTAAACATAAAGCCATTTCAACAGGATTAACTGCCTAATAAGCACACACAAGATTGTGGAACGTGTCTGTGATCTTATTGGCATGCTCTTGCCACAGTGAACAAAATAGTATATAATACCACAGAATGACATTCCTTGGGATATACCCAGCACATACTTAAATAATCCTCCATAGTTTCAAAATGCGACTACCCTCATTCAATCGACTCTTCCCTCCTTCCAGCTGTATAACTTTGTTGCAATATAAATAGGCTTAGATTCTAAATTCCTGGGATTGCTGCTAACTGGATGTTCACACCGGTGGACATGGGGGAAAGGTGATTTTTAAACATTCCTTCTCTACCTTACAGCATCCTGTGCCCCCTAAGAATCTGATCTGGGAAGCCGGGATCTCTCCTGAATAGCCTGAGAAGTGTTTCTGAGGTTTGCTGGAGCAACAGTGAAAATTACCTTCGCATCACTTTCCACTCTGAGACTGCACTGAATTGGCATCCCTTCCATGAACAGAAAGAAGCCTCAGCTCACAAAAGGGAAACTCAGAATCCAAGCCAGTGAAAAGACAGCAACCTGCTTTGTAGTATAAGAGACCTACTGCCCTGCTAATTCTTTTTCTGCGTTTATTATTTCTGTACTGTTTATTAAACAAAGCAAGCTTTTGTACAGAATACAAGATAGGGAATTCTTGTGTACAGGCTAGATGTTCAGAACAGGACACAAGATAAAGAATTCTTACAAGAAATGTTTGTTTCTCGATTAAGTATCCTCGATTAAGTCCAGTATTTTGCATTATATGAAAACAATCACTATGAGTCAAAGAACCCTGTGCATAATCAGAATATAGTTTCAGGCATGCACATGGTGTTGCCACTAATCTCCATCATTGCCCTCTGGGCTGCAACCCCTTCCTACAAGACATCAGGAAGAGCCACTTGCCCATGAAATACATGTGGATTCAAGTGCAGGCACTGTTAATTATTAGCCCAAAGGAAACTTTCAGAAAGCACTACTGATCAAACCATGGATGTGTCGGTTTCATATTGAGAACCCAATCACATAACTTTCCAAGTGCATTGCCATGCTACTTTTTATAAATGAACATTTCTCATAAATTCTGATGTTAAACTTATCATTTAAAATTTTTCTTGCAACTGATTTGTCCCGGTAAGTCACTTCAGTGAAAACAGTTAAACAAGGAAGATGAAGAGATGCATATGAAGAGCATACTTTCAATTTCAGGATGCAACATATATATAACATATCACTTAATACTATAGTACCTGTTCCTCTGTTTCCCGAAGCTTCTTCATCAACTCTTGAAGTTGTTTCTGACATTTCTCATGTTCTGCCTGCAACTATTGAAGCAAATACAAATATTTGCATTTGTAAAGATAATACTACATTTACAGAATTTTAGTTTGATTAACATATCCAGGTTTGTTGAGACAAAATAATTTTTGCATTTAAAAATAGCATCTTTCCTCCAAAACAGGGACAAAAAACACGTGAAAATGAATATGCAGAATGCGCCACAACTGATCACAGACTTTCAAACAAAATATAACAGAAAAACAAAGGAATCTAAACCATATTTCAAATACCTGAGCATCTTTCTGTACAAGTGCCTGAGTAACCCATTGTGTTACACAACTGCAGTTCTGCAAATTTACTTTTAGCTGAGTTCTCCTTTTTACCTTTTAACGTTGAGGGTGAAAATGAACTTTTATGCAAAAATAGTATCTTCTACAAACTATGGTTCTAAATCTTGGACTCTCTTGAAGTTTTACATGAAAAACTTTGCGTACAATTATATTTAACTAGTATGTTACCGTAAATATAAATAAAAACAATTCTAGTACCTGAAACCTAATGTGTTATGTGAAAGTGCAGCACACTTTGTAAATGTAGAGAGAACTACCCTAAAATATCACTTGTGTACTTCTCAGAAGTATATGGCTTGCTACTTTGGCAAACAGGATGCTTAACTAGATAGGCCCTGATCCAGCATATGCAATGACAAAACTTTCTACCTCTTATACAGAACATATGCTACCTTTAAAGTTTTTTAAAAATAGCAAAACCGCATTGCAGAACCTCCAAAAGAGTTTCAAGTTTTCAAAACATTTTGGTGGAATGAGAAGCTAATGCCACTATTAATTTGCTCCAGAAAACACAAAATGTAGTTAATTTAAACTCATTAATTATGGATTACATTCTAAAAAGTAGAGAACTACTTTGATTTTTTAAAAAGGAATTTAGGCAGCTTGATATGGGAGGTTGTTACTTTTAAAAATTACCCTTGAGTTCATGCAGATAGCAGAAAATGTGGTCTGAGAGCGGAATCTACTAAATTGCAATATAGCAATAATTAATTAACTACTTCATATTTCTCCAAGACAGTATCTGAAATGCATACATCATTGTAAGTGGCTTCCTTTGCTGTTCCTTCTTCAATCAGGAGCTCATCAAATAGATTTAAACCACTTCTGGTTGGAGTTACTGTTGTGGTAGAATTGACTGATGGTAAGGAAAAAGAGAGAAATATATTTATTTGGATCATACTTTCTTTCCATCACACAGATCTTTTTGTTAAATAAGAACTAAAAGAACAACTTGCATGTAACCAAGACCTCACAAGGATATTTTCTCTTTGAGGAAGTCCTTTTGCAATATGAAACCACTTTCAGAAGTTCTTCAGCTTAAAAAGAAGTTTACTATGAGGAAGGCATGCTGCTGCTCACAAGAAACAGAAGCTCAAGTCACCTTCTCTCAATGTTGGACATCTAGAACAGCTAGAACTAGTCATTTTTGCTCTCTAGAGCCTGGCCAAAGATCATTGGTTCCATTCTGCAGCAGCAATCAAAAGCACCTTATAAAGACTCTTGGATAATTTCTTAATAAGGAAAAAATGTAATACATTTTTATAAAGTGGGAATAAAAAACATCAAAACCTGTGTAATACAGATATTTAACAGAATATGAACATAGACTATGGAATGTAGCCTATCTGGAAAATGTTGCTTCTAAAGAACAGGATGCTCAAAAATAGGCACATTTGCCTAACAAATTCTTGCATAAGCAAGAATAAACGAAATGTAAGTGGAAATGTAAAAGGGAATTTTGTATCCAAAAGATTGTAAAATTAATTAGAGGTGATACACAAAGCAAGACTACAAATGTTAAGCCCATTTAAGTATTATTATTATTATTATTATTATTATTATTATTATTATTATAACATTTCTATGCCGCCCCTTGCCGAAGCCTCGGGGCGGCTTACAACACAATAAAATACAATACAATACAAAAATAACAATATAAAATTAAAATTAATAAAATTAAAAAATATAAACGATATAAAAGAAGTTATAAAAGAAAAGTTATAAAAGGAAAGGAAAGGAAAGGAAAAGAAAGAAGTCGCCCTGGCCAGATGAATAAGTGAATATTGTTAACAATTAAAATAACGTTTAAATAAAAAGGTCTTCACCTGGCGCCGAAAAACAAATGACGACGGCGCCAGGCAGACCTCTCTGGGGAGCACATTCCATAGATTGGGCGCCACCACAGAAAAAGCCCTCCTCCGAGTGCCTACCCTCCTAATTTCTTTCATGGAGGGTTCCCGGAGAAGGGCCTCTCCCGTAGATCTCAAGGGGCAGTCGGGCATATATGGATGTAAGCGCTCCTTCAGGTAACCAGGTCCCAAGCCATTTAGGGCTTTATAGGTCATAACCAACACCTTGAATTGGGCCCGGACTTCAATGGGAAGCCAGTGAAGCTGTCGGAGGACTGGAGTCATGTGAACATAACGCCCCGTCCCCGTCAGCAACCTGGCAGCTCTATTTTGAACCAACTGAAGTATCCGGACCATCTTCAAGGGAAGCCCCACGTAAAGCGCGTTACAGAAGTCAAGGCGGGAAGTCACCAGCGCGTGTGTCACCGTTGCCAGGCAGTCATACTCCAGGTAGGGGCGCAGCTGATTAAACAGCCGAAGCTGAAGGAAAGCGCTCCTCGCCACTGCTGTCACCTGAGCTTCCAATGAAAGCTCCGGGTCGAGGAGTACTCCAAATGGGGTATGCCACACTGGGATTCAATTCAGATGGTAAAACTTCATTTAAGGAAATTATTGGGCCTTCCATCTATTGATTTGAGAGCAGCTGGGTTGTTGTTTTCTTCATTAACTTATGTAAAAGTTCTTTTTAGCTTTAATACATCACGTAACCCTACTCTCTTAGTGAGAAAATGTTTTTGCTTAACTTATATGGCATCTTTGCTGTAAGAGCGTTGAAAGATATCTCCCTTAATCCTCTCCTTACTGTCAAAAGATTCCAAGGAACTGGGGTAAGGTTTAATATTAAAGATATCAGCTGAGAAAAACCTGAACAATGGGAAAATTATCTTCCCACAATACCAAGTCTGCCACTGTAGCTCCTGTAGGTATAAAGCATGAGTCCTTAAACTACGGCCTGTGGGTCAAATTCGGCCTGCCATGCCAATTTATCCAGCCCACCTCAGAGGTTTTGGACTCACCATGTGTGTGCTTGCGGAGATTGTTTTGGACTCACTTAGAGAAAACGATCTCCGAGCGAGCGAGCAACTGTCTCGCCACACGTGTGCCCCTGCCCCCTCACCAGCCCATGCCCCCATCACTGGCACCGCCTTGCCAGCCAGCGCCCACCACTGGCACCTTCAACTGGCCCCCTGTTGAAAAAGTTTAAGGACCCCTGGTATAAAGCATTCTCAACAGACCACTATGAACTCTTTAGCCATCTACCTTTTAACACCAAAACTCCAAGACAAACTGCCAATTAAAGGAAGTATGGATCTAAATAGACAGTTGATTTAATATCCACTGAAGGGGCTTTGCCCTCAGCTACCCTTTTAGATTTCCCACAGCTAGAACATAAGAAGTTAAAACCTGCATTTCTTATACCTTCTGTATTAACTCATAATTTCCAAGAACTGGAGGATTCCCATCTCTTTGAATCCTTCTCAGTACTCCCACAGGCAGAACAAATAAGTACTATACAGAGACTAGATAGGGTAGAAAGCTTACTTACAGTAAGTAGAGATTCAGTTCTTTCTCACAAGGACTCACCATCCACATCATTATTAATTAGCAAATTGCTCTCCCCAGTAGGTATAATCAAAAAACCGAAGCAAGATGGATAATTTAAAATCATCAATCTCTACTTTTAGAAAGAAAATTGGCAATTAAGTCTAATACCATTAAAGTAAATGTTGGCACTGCTAACTCAAAGAACTGGATTAGTTTTCATTTTCTGGAAACTCATGAACTTGGTATACCATCAACCCCAAATTTTCCTTCAGGATCTCCAAACAAGTGGATGGCTCCAAATAAAAGTGGCAGTGTCTTATTGACCAATTCAGTTTGCTAGAAAAGCTAATTTCTATTGACTCACTCTCAAAGAGAAGCAATTAACTATCCTCAATTAGATGTCTTTCATGGAATGTAGCAAGTTGGAGAAGGAAAGTTTTGTTTGCTTACTAGTTGCGAAGTTGCGTCCAACCTATTGCGACCCCATGGACAACACTCCTCCAGGCCTTCTTGTCCTCCACCAGCCCCCAGAGTCCACTTAAGCTCACAGTGACTGCTTCAGTGACTCTATCCACCTCATCCTCTGCCATCCCCTTCTTCTTTTGCCGCCAATTGTTCCCAGCATTAGACTCTTCTCCAGGGAGTCCTTCCTTCTCATTAGGTGGTCAAAGTATTTGAGTTTCATCTTCAGTATCTGGCCTTCTAAAGAGCAGTCAGGGTTGATCTCCTCTAGGACTGACCGGTTTGATCGCCT